TTGCACCGTTAGGATAGCCACCTTAGAAAAATAAACTATTATAATAGGTCCCATGCAAGTAACTATGTGTCTTTGTATTTTAACCTCAATAGGGGATCGCTTACTGAGTATTTCTTAAAATACTAAAGTCAAGTGCTACTCTATTTTTCAGGTAAAGGCAAGGCGCTTCTGTATGATCGCAATCATGAGACTGTGACAGATGCTTGGATAGTTTCGTATTTAATTTTTAGTAGACCATAGGTTAGTATAGGTTAATTGCATTTCCATTTAGTAACATATAAATTAGTTTAGAACATTTCACTTGGATTGTTTTTCATTTTATTTCTATTTGTATTAGTTTATTCAATAGTATTTTCCAATCCAAAACTAAATCTTTTGAGCTAGATTTAAGAATTATAATGAAACTTTACCAAATTAACGTAAGTAGAGATTTGAAAACAAGACTTACTAGTTCAAATTTTTCTAATGGCGAACTTTTCTTCATGTGCCTGAAAGGTTGATGGATGTTATCGTTGGCCTCCGGGTGCTTGATGGATGTTATCGCCCCATTAAGCATACGTGTGACTGTACGCATGAATATTTATATATTAACTTCAAGTGATTAAATGTGTAATTCTCCCGGTAGAGAGTAGGTAAATAAAACAAATTAAGACTAGGGTTAGGGTATTAGTTTGGCTAGACGGTAGCCTAAGATGGAATGTCTCTAGTAGTCCGAGCGAGTAGAAATTTACAAGACAACCAGAGTTGTGGCCCTAGTTCTCTTAATGATTCAAACTCAGGTAGTCAAATTTGAGAAACTTGAAGACCTGAATCCATGTCTAACATAGTTTTGTTTTAAATGTTTTGTTATGAACTCTATTTTGATATAATGTAAAGATATTGTATATTATGTTTAAAATTGTTTATTTATTATTATTATTATTTTTTTTTTTTGTAAAAACTCTGTCGTCTTTTTATACTATGGAGTCAACTCTAGTTGCAATCTATGCGTCGTTCTAGCTCAAAAATGAAGTCATGAAAATAATGGTATTAGAGCCAAAGGTTTCTCTATGATCCAGCTCAAGGGACACCTTACCGAGACCAAGCAAGTACACCTCTAAGACTTAGGTCAAGTATTCCCAAGGTTATAAGTTATTGGGTGCATGATTGTAGGGTTATTATTTATGATAAGATTTGAGATAACCTTAAGACCCTGACCATAAGTATCCCCTTGTTCTTGCTTAATCCTTTAATTTCTTTCCTTTTAATCGTTTGGATCTTTCCTGGGCGGCTTATTCTTGTTAGAGCTAATTCCCTTCATTTTTTGGGTGTTACGCCCGCAATCGTCAGTGTGCTTTAGAAATCTGAAACGAAACATGGGTCTGGAACGGTAGTCCCATCCATGACTTTGTGAATTGATGGGAGAGCGAGGAAAGACAGGAAGAATGAAAAAGGGATCAAAATTCAACGGCGAGGAGCTCTTGAGAAGACAAATAAAAGTTTCGGTAAATTCACATATAGCCATGTGTTGAAGAAAATATCCATCGGGTCGGGTCAGATTCTTGTAAACCGTGATTACAACCTCTGACTCAAATTAAGACAAACCGAAGCCTCGACCCATGACTAGTGCGAAGCCCAGCATCCAGAACAAATCCCTGAAGCCCACCTGTAATGCTCGGCCCACCTGTACCATTGATTGCATGACCCACTACCACTAGAATTTTTTCACAAAATGATTAAGTTATGATAGACGGTAGTGACTCTAGATAAGTAGAAATCTAGGGTCGTTATAGTATTCTTGTTTGAACCGAAGGACATGCTCCTTATATTAGAAATTTAGGTTAGATGGGCACAAATTAAGTTAAAAAAGACATAGATTAAGAGATAAAAAAATTGATCTTGCCACTTTTTTTTTTAACAAAAAAAATAATAATAATAACCCGGAGTTGTAATAAACCATAAAGCATTAAAGAATTCTTCACTTTTGAACTTAAAGTATTAAACTTCTATTTAAACATTCAAACTGTAATTATTTTTTTATAAATCGCAATAGAAGTTGAATATCAATGATTGACTTTTTTTTTCCATTGTATATTATACTTCCCGTGGTTGAACTGTTTTTTAAAAAAAAACCATCAATTATATAAATTTAGAGATATATATAAACGTACATATATATATAAAGACGGTGTCGTTGAAAATTTGAAATCATACATCACCCTTATTTACCTAAATCATTGACCTTCAACTTGCAATAGACCGTTAGAGGTTCTCCTTCCTTATAATTGAGAATTGTCACTTTCCAAGGTGACCCCCGAGATTGGAGAGATAAACAAGTGAAGGCATTAAAAGTAGATGCAAAAGTAAACAACAAAATCACACAGAGACAATTCATAGCATTCATTTTTTGATGTTTTAGAATCTATAATGGCCCTAGATTCCTATTTAACCTAAAGCCGCTACTATATACATATCATAAAATATTTTATGGGAAAATACTTCATTCAAAACTTTATCATAAAACGTTTTTGTGGACTTACATGTTTTCTAGAAGGTCTTTAAAATAAAATACCAAAAATTAAAATGACATAAAGTAAAACTGCCCTATACTAACCTATATGCAACAAAATTAAATGCATACTAACCTACATTGTAGAGTCTACGAAATTAAAATTTTGAAAACTCCCCAATCGTCAGCCGTGCAGGGGAGCCTTGCCTCTACCTGAAAAATAAGAGTAGCACATGACTTGAGTATTTTGATAAATACTCAGTAAATCACCCTACTATTGGGATTAAATGCAAGCACATGCAATCATGAGTGGGACCTATCATATCAATCTATATTTCTTAGGCAGCTAAACTAAGCGGGGTCAATTTGATGTGTATTTACTGCTCTACACACAGTCTACACGTACGAGTATGGACCCACAAGTCGGCTCGTACACCTCTTGGGCCCCTTTCTTGTTAGGCGAGCATTATCTGGGAGCTGTTGATGTCGGACACCCATTAGAAATAGCAACCTTCGTAGCATTATAACAAATATAATGGTCGTTTCCTTGTCCTGTAGTGTACGCGTTCGTACCATCGCTAAAGATGAAGGGGTATCCCCCGATGCATGAACACACAATGATACATGAGGTCCCAACATTTTTCTTTGATGGAGTTAATATAACTAGCTTGTTCATAATTATTAAAACTCAAGGTCTTTGAGTACTAACATTTTGTAGTTCAAATTCCTTTTTACTCACGAACTAGTTTCGAACAACCACTAGTGTCTTCTCCGCTATTCTCCGGTCTTAGAACGGGATTGAGGAATCCGGTGAGTGACTAAACTTGGAAGGGATTTAGTATATATGAAGAGAGAGTTTGTGGGAGTTTTTCCGAGATTTTTTAAAGGGAGAAGTTCCATGTACCTTAATCACTAAAACATTAATTTTTCTATTTAATTAATATTTAATATTAATTCAAATGCCAATCTCAATCAATTCTGACATATATTTGATTAAAATATTTAAATATTGTTTAAATATCTCATATTCTCTCTTTTTGTTTAATTCGTAAATAAAAAAAATGCAATTAAATATATCGTATATATGTAGCGCATATTTTCTAATTTGAATTCGAACTCACTCATCACACTATTCTATGGTTTTGTCAGATATGAGCTAGCAGATGGATCTAATGGACCTATATTTCATGCTCTCCAACTATTCAAGATTAACTGGTTAAACTCATTAACCTTGTTAACCAACATTTGTTAACTACTAGGACACTCCACTATAGCCTAGTAGTTGCACTCCCCTCACTATAGATATATTTTTGTCCATTTGATATAATCATGATTAGTAGGTCGATCCTTCACAGGTTGTGCATAACTAGAGCTGGGTCAATTTATCGTTTTACCCTTCAAGTTACTTCATGTTTCTTATGTCCCACTAATCCTCTAATGAACAATTGGTTTTTGGTCCAACCAAAAACCAAATTCCTCTCAGGCCAATGAGAGGGTAGGGCCCCTTGTTCAAGACCTGGAGTCAGTACTAAGGGAGCTACCTCTCTTCTATCTTTAAAAGTGGGTAGGAGTGAATTCCATCTTACACCCCACGTCCCCAGCCATTCACCTAGTCTTACCCCTAAAATGGGAGGCCTATTGAGTCGGCGAACTCGAGCCCCTCTCACACATGAAAATCTAAGGATAATTTCGAATAAACAGGAGTTCATTGTTAGCTCAGGATTAAGATCGAGTTACCTGGGTCATTGAATGATAAGAAAATCAGTCTCAACAGTAAACGACATTATAAAGTGAGAGTGATTTTCTTCATGGTTCGATCTTATGCAATAGTCATTGCATAGGACACCCCCACTCACATGTCTCCACATGTACAATTTAGTGATCACATTGTTTATGTCATATAGAAAAGTGGGCCACATCCATAGTGTCCCAGGATAAGGTACTCAACTATATCCTTGTACTATAGATCATTTTGACTATATACTTGAACTTGATCCACTCGTATGTCTCTACATATAGTTCAAGTAATCATCCTATAGTCAAAGTGTTCTTAGTTTATTGTATTTAGATTAATAATCGTAAAATTCACTTTATTCAATAGCAATCTTTACTGAATAAACATCAATAATAATTTTATTGAAAATAGAATATGTTTTTGTTTACCAACTATGAGTTTTATTTCATAAAACCCAACAAACTCCCACTTGGATTAAAACTCTAGTGGGGTTTTATAAAGTTGAGTAGAGAGAAATACATAAATACAATAAAGTAGGGCATCACATACTCATGCCTTTTCTCCCACTTACCCTAGATTACATAACTCGTAGTTCTATACTCACTAGGTGCCCTTCAAACACTTTAGCCGTGAGGGGCTTTGTAAATGGATCAGCAATGTTGTGCTCTGAATCTATTTGTGTGATGATCACATCTCCTCGTTGCACAATCTCCCTTATGAGATGATATTTGCGCTCAATATGTTTTCCTTGCTTATGATTTCTTGGTTCTTTTGAATTTGCAACTACTCTACGGTTGTTACAATAAAGAGTGACGGGAAGATGCTTATTTGGAACGACTTCCCAATCAGTTAAGAACTTCCTAAGCCATACAGATTCTTTCGCTGCTTCACAAGCAGCAAAATACTCAGCCTCCATGGGGCAATCAACAATGCAACCTTGCTTTATGCTTCTCCATATTATTGTTCCTCCGTTCAGAGTGAAGACAAATCCTAGTGTCGATTTCCTCGAATCTACATCGGTCTGAAAATTTGAGTCAGTGTACCCTATAAGGTTCAAATCTTTAGCACTGTATATTAGCATATAGTCCCTCGTTCTCCTTAGATACTTAAGGATATTCTTAACGGAAGTCAAATGAGCACGTCCCGGATTGGACTAATATCTGCCGACAATTCCCACAGTATATTTTAGGAAATCACAACCAATTATATTTTAGATCTCCTAATTCTGAATGATTTAGATTGTCAATAATTTTATATGAATTATAGAAAAAGAATACAACAAAATGAATTGATTAAATTAAAAGCTAAGAATATAATGGTTAACTAAAGGAAGACAAAGTAAATAAGAAAAAATGAAATAGATATGGAAATTAAAAATACTGTTACCGGAAAAAGAAAAGAAAAAAGAAAAAAAAAATAAAAATAGAATGGGAAGATTTGGAGTAGGAATATATTAACAAAATTTGCCAAAATATCATAATTTAACCATGGGCAATGTAAATTAGAGAAATAATTTTATGGAGTTCAAACTTGAAACTGATGTCATGGGCTCACATAGGTTGACTTGAATTTCAATGGACTTTCATTAAGGATAACGACAGAATATTGGCCTAAGCTAACCAGGTAATGATTTTACTATCGGCATGGTTATATTTGATGTTGACACGTGCCCTATGGTTCTGCACGTGTCATCTTCATAGTCCAACCCCTCTCTTTGGGTATAATCCTTTACTACAAGTCGAGCTTTAAAGGTCTATACCTTACCGGTTAGGTCTTGTTTCCTCTTATAGATCCATTTACAACCAATAGGTTTTACCCCATCTGGTTGATCTACAAGTTCCTAGACTAAATTGAAGTACATTGACTCCATTTCAAGATTCATGGTTTTAATCTACGGATCTCTATCTTCATCATTGATTGCTTGTTTATAGGTCAATGGATCCTCAACGCCATCATCATGTATGATGACTTGAGTTTCTGCCAAACCCAAGTAACGATCCGGTTGAGTTATAACCCTCCCACTACGTCGAGGCATTCTCAACTCTTGAGAATGATGTGATTGACCAGAAGTGCCATCTCCATCAACAACTCTTGTTGTTTTACCAGTAGCTTCTTTATAAATCTCACTTAATACTAGTTTGCTACGAGGTTGATGGTTTCTTACGTGGTCTTCCTCTAAGAATGTAGCGTTTGTTGATACAAACTCTCTATTTTCTTGAGCGTCATAAAACAACCACCTTTCGTCTCTTTGGGGTATCCTACGATAAACATAATTTTGAACGACGTTCTAATTTCTTAGGGTTTTGCAACAACACATGTGTTGGGCATCTCAAAATCCTGAAGTGACGTAAACTACCTTTATGCCCTTTCCATAACTCACAAGGTATTTCTGAAACACTCTTAGAAGAAACCATGTTCAAAATGTATGTAGCAGTCTCCACTACATATCCTCAAAACAGATCAGGTAATTGAGCAAAACTCATCATAGATTGAACCATGTCTAATAGAGTTCTATTTCTCCTTTCAGATACACCATTTTGCTGAGGCATACTAGGGGCTAAGAGTTAAGACGTTATTCCATGTTCTATCATATAGTCCTGAAATCTTAAGTCCATATACTCTCCAACTCGGTCTGATCGAAGTGTTTTAATAGTTTTACCTAATAGATTCTCAACCTCAGTCTTATACTCTTTGAATTTTTCAAGAGCTTCAGACTTGTGATGCATTAGGTAAAGATAGCCATACCATGAATAATCATCAATAAAACTGATGAAATATTCATACCTTCCTCATACTTTGACATTCATTGGACCACAGAGATCTGTATGCACAAGTTCTAAGGTTTCTTTAGCTCAATAACCTTTTTCGAAAAACGGTCGTTTATTCATTTTACCCTCAAGACAAGACTCACATGGAGGTAAAGAGTTGTCTTCTAACTCATTTAGAAGTCCTCTTTTAACCAATCTCTCAATCGTATTGAAATTAATGTGGCCTAGTCTTAAGTGCCAAAGATAGGTATTGGGAGAAAGCTTTTGTCGTTTATTTTGAGTTTCAGCTGTTTTAAACATCTCGGTTTTTAAAATAGCCTTTTTTTCGCTCCATTTTAACATATATAAGTTGTTTTCTAGTTTTGTGGAACAAATATGAATACCTCTTTTGCAAATGAACACTTCGTTGATTTCAAAAGATAGTTTATACAATTGTTCTAATAAACAAGAGATAGATATTAAATTTCTTTTCATTTTAGGAACAAAAAGTACAATATCTAATATAATGAATATATCTCCAAAAAATAATTTTAAATTTCCTAATGATCTTGTTGAGACAACCTCTCCTATTCCAACCCAAAGTGTTATCTCGCCGTCCGCAAGCATTCTTCAGGAGCTAGTTTTCTGGAAAAAAGAACAAATATGATTAATGACCCTTGAATCTAGTATCCAAGTTGAGTTATAATACTCTACTAAACATATTTTTACAACGAGTAAATCATATTTATCTTGTTGTGTCTTTTTGACTTTCTTCTCTGCAAGGTATTTTGGGCAATTTCTCTCAGTGCCCGTTTTCATTGCAATGGAAACATTTCCCTTTATCTGCTTTTTGAACCTTGTGTTTGTGGTCAATAGGAATCTTATTTTCCCCGTTACCCTTCTTCTTTATCAAAACACTTTTAGAAGTTGAACGTCCAGACTTATTTTTTAGGACGATCCTCGTAGTAATTTCTTAGAGATAACAACATTTGCTTCTCCTGTTTGTCTCTTGTTCGTTAAGAGAGATTGATAAGTCTTTAGCTCATTAAGAAGAGCAGTCAAGTTATTTTCTATCTTGTTCATCATCACATTTGTGCGGAACTGAAAGAAGTTCTTTGGAAGAGACTCCATGATAAAACTGACTTGACTCTTCTCATCAATGACAATGCCATTTTCTTCTGCCACATTGAAATGGACCATGATGTCCAGGACATGTTCTCTAACTGAGGTCCCTTCTTTCATACAGTAGTTGTAAATGTATTTTATGGCGTTATGTCTAAGGGAGAAGAACGGTTGTCCAAACATCCCTTTCAGAGATTCCATAATCTCTTTAGCAGTACCCATGACATCGTGTTTCTTAGCCAAAACATCAGATATGCTGTCTAAAATGTACAGTCGGGCTTTGTCATATGCCTTTGTCCATCTGTCATATGCATCCCAAACTGTTCGGTTTGCATTTGAGCTGGGGTTTGGAGGACATTCCTCAGTTAAAACAAACCTTAAATTATCAATTACAAGTATTGTGTTTAGGTTTGATTTCCAAGTTGCGTAATTGTTGTCGTTTAATTTCTCAGAAGCGAGTAATTGTACTATTGAGTTTGTCATGCTGTGATATAAAGAAAATTATATTACTTATTTGATTTAATCCTGTTTAATCCAATCAGGTTTAGCAAATGTAATAATGTACCCAAAAATTATTAATTTGCAATGATACTTTAGTGAGTTAGAGCAACTGCTACCGAGGGGCAGTTAATCACTTCTTCATTCAACCAAGACATTCTTGACTTAAACACTAATCCTAGAATAACTCTTGTTCCTAGTAATCGCTATTTTGGTCAAGAATATACTAACTCTTAGTAATTCTTCGTAAGTGTGACCCACCAATTTCAGACCTCAGAGATTGGTCCCAACAACGCTATCGAATATAAAAAAACCAAAGTTGGGAATGGACCTAAGAAATCCTATCCATTTCTGGAGTTTGCGTTGTTTCGACTCCCATGTTACGACCCTCCGAATGGGTAGTTGCTCTAGGGCAACATGCAGGTGGAACATGGGAATCTCATAGTGCAACCTAGTGGTGGAGACCATAGGACGTGTTGATATACTTCCTTCTCCCACTTATTATAAATACTTTCTCTATTCACCTTGTTATTGACTTATGCAAATACTTTCTAAATGGAAGACGCTCCTAAGGCGACACGAGGTCGAGCATGAATCTCACGGTGTGAATTTTTCAGAGAGCGTAAAAGGAAAATGATGTATCTCATATACCTTTTTCCTCCCACTAAGTATTTTAGATGGTTGGGTATACTCATTACTTAGGTATATTCCAGCTAATTAAATATAACTTAAGTCTAGGTTTTTTTCTAAAACTTATATCACTGAAGCATGCTCATAAAACTTGGCTAACTAAGCTCAAGTACTAGTCTGATTTCCAGGTAGTAGGTGTTTCGTAAACCATCAACTTAAGTACCTCGAGTCTTAGACAAGATTGTGCTAGGTGAGCTTTCTTGTAATAGCAATTTTATAAGACATCGACCTATTTTAACTATTAAAATTGATTGTGCTTGGTTCTTAACCTAAGTGAGCATGCACTTATCTTTATTATAGACTTTAACGTCTATCTCATTTTATGACGTTGAAAATAACCTATAACATGCATCTAACATGCTTTTTATAACAATTATATAATCATTCATTCCATGCAATAATATAACAATTTATATCTATCACTCATGGAACCCTCAACATGCATACTATACATTATAACACTTATAACATACTTGGAATGCATGATGCTTAGCATATGGTGGGATTTTAAATCTATATGACATACTTTATGCATATACATTTTCTATTTCATTAAAACATACATTCATAATGCATAAATAATTAAACACGCTAAAGTGGATTGGTTTTGGCATTTTAAAGCAATTAACTAAATTATTACATTGAACTGGTCCCGAGGATCATGAACCGAGTGAACCAACCCTTAAAAGCGCTGAACAGTACCCGAACGATAGAAAAAACACCCGAACCGC